AGGAAAGAGAGTGCTGATGGTCACTTTTGACATGCTGGTCTAACTATCGAAGAGCATAATGGAGAGTTATGTGTCGGAAGAGCCTTCACATTTACTTTAATGCATTGCAGGCAAGAAACTCATTGGGGGAATAGATTGTGTAGAGTATCTAATAGATATTCTAGTCCAAAACTAGTAAAGAGATAAATCGTCAATTTGCCTTTGGCCACATCAGATGCACTCCATAATACAATCTGTGTACCATCTCAGTACAAGAGCATCATCTCATTACTCTGTTTCTGGCTCAGAAGTCAGTTTGTGGATGATTCCTAGCAATAACTCCCTCTTCTCAAAGAGGAGGTGAAGATAATGTAGGCTGTAGCCCCGGAAGAGCCTATATGGTTCATCGACCCAGCGCTCAATCTCCCGCAGAAGAACGGTAAAATCTCTTTTCTCCTGTCTAAAGACCTGATAGCTGAGCAGGTACTCCTGTCCCGCCTTTTTCAGGTAGTCGTATGCTGTCTGCTGTAGATATAGGGATTTTGATAGCTTCGAACCCGACCAGTCTGAAATGAGAGGGTATAGACAATCAAGATGGGCTTGACCAGAAAGCGCCATAACAGCTGCTCTTGCCAGAATCCAGCGTAGTCGCTACCACAGACCTCGATGTAGTTGTATGACGCGCGCTCGTAATAACGACCAATTACTAGATTGAAAAGCTGGCAATTAAACTGGAATCTGTGGGAATCGGAATCCACGTTGTAATTGAATCGTCCATGTCGTGGGCATTCAAAAGAGACGGTCGATCCACCCTGGGAATAGATATTGTTCATGCCGTATTTGTCGACGAGTCCATATTCAGGGCATGCGGCGCGGATGGCGAGACTCCCAGTAGCTGGTGCTAGGCATCTGATGAGGCCACCACAATTTCCCGAATAATACCACCGACCCCGTCGCTCTTCAGAAACTCTTCCTCTAGGCGAATTCGATGGGTAATTCCGTATCTATTCGAAAGTATCGCAAGGAGTTCTGTATAATCCGGAAGGAACTCTTGGAACTTCCCGGTATCCCGAAGACTTCGTTGGTAGGTAATGTTGTTGATAACTATTTGCTCCCCTTTTGCTCTGTCCCACAGGTCGCACACCACCGTAACATCAGTTCCTATATCTTTCTCTCTCCTAGTCAAAACAAACGCTAGTCCTAGGCTACACAATGTTCCGACATGAGGCGATGAATTGGGTTGAATGATAATGTTAATTTCTGTGCGCGCTTCGGGATGAGGGAGTAACGACCGCAGATAACCGGAATAACCGCTTTTGAATATGTAGGAACCGCCACCCAAAGCGTGATGGGAGGTCATATCGTAGGCGATTTGCAATTTCTGTTGGTCTGCCATGGCGATTAGAATGGACGTGATGCTTAAATTTCCTGAAGTCCACGAGAACAAAAACGAGGGAGATTCGGGGCGGGGTTTTAAATTTATGAGGGGGTCCCCAAAAACAATACTGTACGGAGTACATGCATATTGGAAAGAGAAGCTGGAGCCGAGCAATGACAAATCTCTAACCTGATAGCTGGACAGATGAGTGGCACAGTTATCATATCTTATTCGACACTAAAGAATGCAATGATGGTGTGAGAGATCAGGCTTGCAGGAAACAACACAAGGCTGTGGAACTCCATCAAGTTGGTCTTGGCAAGTGCTCGTGCGGTTAGCCTTGACGAATCAGTTCTCTAGTTTACAGGTTAGCTCGGTTCGGCCCGATACGCGGTACGCGTGACTCCACTGTGACTCCACAACAAGCGCGTCGCGAAGTATTCCGTGCTCCCTCCCCCTCCAACTTTCATGCTAGCCTTACCTACTTAGTTTCCCAGTCTTCAACTTTCATCTTTCCTCATAACTGCATATCTACATTTGATGTAGACACCGTTACGGCTTCTTGATGTCTCACATGAAAAAGGCTCCGGGCGAACGCGCCACCAGCGACGTTATTTTACCCATGCAAGACCCCTACATGACCCAGATTAACGACGGAAGGAAGAATTATGAGTTCAGGAAATATTGCCTCAAGCCTAGTGTGAAAAGAATCTGGTTCTATCGGACTGTTCCGCACTCCAGCATCACCCATGTCTGCGAAACTAAGCCCGCTCGAACTCGAAAACCCGGCGATGGTCCTCTGGAAGAAGACGGCCTGGGTAATGCCGAATTCAACAGTAAACACAAGGACTGGGATGGTCACTGTCTACGAGCTCAAACGGCCGGTAACCCTCAGGGAGATGAAAGACACATGGTTTCAAGTCAGCGCCGAGGGGGCTTGTTTACCTGCCCAGGTCAATTAGTACCAGTGTTAACTGGAAGCAACAAAAGCTGGTAAGAGATCTAAATCTTAGCTTTCGCTTGACCTTTAGCTAATTAAGGCAGTTGATCAACCGAAGAAAGCAATTCTCGGAGGCTTAAAATAGGCTGTGGGAGCTCAGATGGGTCTGATGCAAGATGTTGTCACAGTCGGAAATGACGCGGCCGGTTTATTCCAACTTAACTACAATATAGTATTTGCGGACCACGTCCATTTCGTTCGAGTGGATGAGTTTCCCATTTTTCCTTACCCCCGCTAAGGCTTTCAGCTATTCGGACCATGTTTTCTTCAAGTGCGTATAATTCTCTGGAGATCTCTGCCCAACAAAGTTCCAGATCTTGAATACCAGGGTCCATTATTAACTTGTAAGTTACATCTTCATTCATATGACCAGCATGGTTCAAAGCATAGCTGATTGCAAATTAGACTAACCGGTTTATATAAAATTGGACTTGAAGGAGACTGCACAGGAACTTAATTGGCCACACCATCAAAATTCTCCTCAACACTTCCCTTGTGGGGCAAAATTCTCTTCATCATGGTGGCCCATTCATGGATATCTCGAATGAAACGCCGTGCAGTTCCCTTTGTCACTCCTTGTTCAACAAGAAATCTTACATGTTCCTGATCTTCATAGACCAACTCAAGGTCAAGACCATGTGAGAGAGTTATAGCACATGCCTTTCTCCAATCAGCTTTATGTGTCTCATCAGACACTTGTTGTTCATGCCATTTGCAGTATTCTGTCACAGCTTCATCTCAAGGGCTGGATATCCTAAGTTGTTCATTGGAGGGTAGAAACTCGGGCGGTGAAATGGCCATGACAGAGCCATGAGTGCTATGCCCTGGCAGGACATTAATGTTAATTGGAGGATATGGAGTTCCAACTGGGATGTTATTAGCTTTGCCTGACCCCTTTTCAAAGTTTCCCGCCATCATCAACATGTCTAATAAGGCTCGTCAGATGAGTTGTTCTAAGTTTGTAGTGCTTTCTCTGCTTAGGATCCTACCAGGACCACTATCCATAGTGGCATGAGGGCAAAGAACATTGCATGAGATTGTACACATGCCTCCAGGTCAAAGATTGTCCTGAGCTCTCCTCTTCACCATCAATCTGTGCATCTCATTTGGCAAGCATTCTTCTGGTTGCTGAAGAAGTATTTCTTTTGTGTAGGGCAACCATCATCACACATATATTTAAAAGAAATAGAAACTGTGGGCTTTTTACCCATGTGGATCAAATTGCTCCACTTGCAGAACTGCCTCTCCACTGGTATCCAATCAATGTTAGTAGATTTATAGAGTTTCTCAAGATTGCTCTGAGAATGATCCTTTACTGATATCATAATTACCATGTCTTCTGATCAGACCTGCTGATCATGTTTTTTCTTGTGCACCAATCCTTCAATTTTTGGTTACAGACACTTTTCCCAATACTCACAGGGAGCTATGACTAAGTCTTGCTCAGTCTCCCTAGCCTCAACTCTGTGATTGATTATGATCCTCCATGCAATTGTGTAGCAAATATAATTTGGTGACTGCTTTTCATAGTCTTTGCCCTCCATCCATTTGGCCAATGGGAGAAATTCAAGGTGGTCATGCATTTGGAGGGCACAATCTGGGGTAGGGCTGAGAGATTGAGCATAAGGGTACCACCAAAGTAACCTGGTGTTGGGGCAAATTGTAAACTTCCTCCCATATATCCATCACTCGGGACTAAGAGGCATCGTCATACCTAAATTGACTATTGGTCATTTTTCAAAAATCTAAATTGCTTTTGCGAGACCTAGCAATACACCCATGGAAATAAAGCTTTGCCTTTCAAAACTTCATCTGGGAAAACTAGAGGCCGAGAGAGTAGGAGAGTTTGGGATTCAGGGGATGCAACGAAAACCGTGGAACTGGGCGGTGGTTGACGGACCAAACTCACATTCTGCCCGTTTGGCTGGTTTGCAAAGAAGCTTCCAGCACCCATGTATTTTCAGTACAAGTTTCGAGATATTGTGTAATATTGATACTTAGTCGTAACAAAGTATATTACACAAGATACGCAGATGGATCCAAATATGGTTTAGCTTAAAACGTTAGAGACTTGGCATTAGGGTTTGGAAACAAATCTGGCTTGCAAGACCTGGAAGGCGGTTTCGAACCTTACTGTACCAATCCCACGGGTTCCAGGGTTAGATTTCTACAAAGCAACAAAGGCGCGGGTCCTTTTTTCTTGCGTCAGGCTTGATGGCAAAATGGAATATTTATGTAACTAGATCTATCACACGCTCATGTACGGAGAACTGTCGATACCAAGGCTGAGCCAGATGCTTATTAGCCCATATCAACATGAAAAATGCCGGTTCCAACTCCAGGGGGCTATGCAGGCGATTATGCTTGACAACAAGGGTATTAAAAAGTAATACACAATAAACACATTTGCGGAGTGGAAAAATATTAAAAAATAAATAAATAAATAAAAAAAATAAAAAAAAAAAGAAAAAAAAAAGAAAAAAAAAAAAAGGAGGGAAAGCCCCAGTAAGTTGTGCTGGCAAGAATAATTGAAACCAAAAATCCAAAATATCGCTGAGAATCGTATGGGAAAAGAACCATCAAAGCCGCGCTCACACGTTACTCTCATGCGCAATCAGGAGGGTAATATTACGATCCGTGAGATCACTGAACTCCAAGTCTCCATCGATCAATCATATCTCTCTGCTTCTGGTCAATCAAGGTTGCCGGCTCGGCTCGAATCCCCGGACGATAAGTCGGCTGTGCGTAGAAGTGTGGGTTTAAGTTCACCGCTGGTAGACCGTTCCCGTAGGCAGGTGCAATGAGACCATGGCTGTTATACGGCGTTGTTCCACTGTTCAGTTCATTGCCAAATGAGAGAAGCGGGCCTTTCAAGGATATTTTGGACATGCGGTTAGCGGCGAGCAATGATTGTCGACTTGCCGCAGCTCCAGTGCCTGAGGAATATACCTCATTCGGTGGCTGCATCCCGACTGGGTGCGCTTGGAGAATATTAGCCATACTCCGTCGACTAGAGATTTTATTAGCGTGATCATTAGAATTGCCCGCCTCGGCCTCTGCTTGAAGACGTTTCCGTCGTTGAGCAAGGGTTTCTTCCTCAGGTTCCCCATCTTCACTTGGCGGCTTTTCAGGAGGTTTCTCGTCCCCGAATTTCGACAGTAGTTCGCTTGCAAAGTCCGAACTTGCCGTTTTCTCTTCCCGAGCCTTCAACCTTCTAACGCGCTGGGCCAAGGTCTCTTCTTCATCGCTCTCGTTATCTTCTAGTCCAGGGATATCAAGTGTAAACGCTGTACTCGCTCTGTTGGCCGGAGGCTGAGGAGTCCCAGTGGGGCGCGGACGTGGAACAGGTGGCGGCTCTCCTCGCATTCGAGCACGCCGATGACTGAGCGGCTCATTTTCCTCTAGTTGTAGCTTTTCCATGAGACCCAACGGTCGATTCTCGTCAGCCTGTCTGGACTTTTCGGGGAATAGTAGTGCAAGTGGTACGTCGTCGTCGTCAGGCTCCCGACATTCCGCTAGCCCAGGATCCTCCCAGGCCAGAGTGACATGTCGCTGGTTCCTATTCTCGCGCTGACGCTGTGCGACAGCATCTAGCTCGAGCAACGTTGAATGCATACCGTTTGGGAACGCAGTTGCAGCCGTACGACTTCGTTGCTTTTGCTCTTGTTTTCGCATCTGTAGTTCAGCCAGTAACGTCGTCGGTGGACCGATAAAGGCTTCTTCCTTGCCTTCGCTATCGTCGCTCTCAGAACCATCGGATTGTGGATCTTGCGGATCATCATACCGATCAGAGCCCTCTCCGTCACGCTCACGGTCATACGAAGTTCTAAAAGGAGTGGATTCATCTGCCCCATTGTTGCCCTCTATTTGGCCAGCGCTTCGCCCGGAGGGGTTACGACTGTGAGTTGGTTCTCCCACGTCAAGCGGGATTTCCGATAGAGGCTTATGTTTCTCAGCCTTGTTTCGTTTCTTTATTTTCTCCTTCCCATATACTCCGGCTCCAATGTGACCCACAATAGGATGATCCGTAAAGGCGCTAACAGGCGCCAGTGCCGCAGCATCGAGGATACTATCTAAAGTAGCAACGGCTGAATTCTCCTTCACTGTGATGTCCAGATGTGTCGGTGGCTGCTCAAAAAAGGCACTGGCACGGAGTTGGGGCGGTATCTGAGAAATTCTCTTGTTCTGCCTCAAAGGGGCATCGCTTTGGTTCTCACCCATGGGCAACCAGGCTGATTTCCGTTTGTCTGCGGGCATCGAGTTGATTAACTGGGTCCGACGTTTCTCCTGCTCAGACGTAGCGGGCTTCTTGGATAGCCGCTGGGGTAAATTTAATACCATCGGCACCGGAGCAGGGTAATAAACCATGTTTTCACCAGGCGTTGGCTCCTTGTGGGCCTGCGGTAGACTCGCAAGCGGAGGTTGGCTTAAGGACAGTCGTCGAGAGCTCGACTGCTCACTCGAATAGGCTGTGAAATGTACGCCATCGAAGTCCTTGAACAAGTTGGTGGCCTGCCGGTAGGTGTCTGTAGAACCTGCAGTCCCAGGGCGGTCTATTGGTTGTCCGTCGTAGATGGGAGCCCCCATGGTTGGTTCGTGGTACAGTGGAGGCTCCTGGGGTAAATGTATAGAAGGAGGATTCAATGTGGGAGGGATCGTAGATGGGATGGAAAATTCCTGTTCCAAGACGTTGTGCCGGTCTTCGTTTTCAGGCTCGATCACTTTGGCTAAGCGGGATGCAACAGAGCCCGATCGTAAACGAGCAGAGGCTTGAGAAGATGGAGGGGATTGTATCGACCGCCTAGGGGATGAAGACTGTCGCCGGGGGGAGTAAACGCCAGATCTGGTATCTATAGGTCCCGTGCACGACCCGACAGACTGCTTTCGTGACCTGATTGAACCTATCGGAGATCCCAGAGTCCGTACGCCTTGCTCATCTTCCAATTTCGCGATATTGTCACCACTATCCAATGCTAAACTGAGACGTTCAGCAGTTTTCTCGAGCCGTTCGACGTTTCCGACATAGGCGCCTTGAAGTGACTGAAGATCTGGCGTTGGATGGCATAGGTCCGGACCGTCCGTAGCGGGACTCTGTAGTATGAGCTCTGGGGACTGAGGGGAGGAGAAAGCCGTGTTTAAAGGGGTCGCTCGAGATGCGTCCGCGGATCTTTCGGCTTGCATCTCTTTCACATGACAATCGCGCTTCGATTTAGGGCCTTGATCAGCAGCGTGATAGTCGTCATCCTCCAACATACCATAGCTGGTAGTCGATGCCCCGCGGGAACGGATTACCGATTTCAGCGATATAGAGGGGGCTTTCTCGGTTGAAGCCGTTTTCATGAGCGTAGAACCTCCGAGGTTCTCGAAGTCGAGGGAGAGAGGCTCGAAGGACGCCTTCGGAAGGGGAGGGGAATCGGACGCATCAGAATCCGAGGCATTCGAAGCGGCGTCATGGTCGTTCTGGGAGATGGCATTGTAGGCCATGTTGTCAAGGAGGTCGGATGTATCCGACAAACGGCATCAAGCTATCGATGCGGTCTCAAGGTGAATGTGATGAGAGCTGGAACAGCCAACGACCAGCGGTGGTCACGAGATCTCACGGGCCCTACCTACAATTCGAGGAGAAGGGATAGTATGATTCAATATGTCGGCCGTAAGGAAGATTTTATTGTCGATGCAGAAAACCACCCCCTGGCACTCATGCAATTGTTGGTAGATGGAAGACAACAGCCAGATACCAGATTCCTGTGAAACATGAGCCTCCTGCCCGGGAAATGAAAATGCTAGCTTTCTTCTTGCTGACTGAAGCAGTCATCCGCCAATCCGTGATGGTCTAACGGTCATGATTTCCGCTTGTCATTGTTCGATAACAAGCGCGGGAGACCGGGGTTCGACTCCCCGTCGCGGAGATAACTTTTTTTCCCGCCCTTTTTATGTACCCATTTTCTTTCTTTCTTTTCTTTTCTTTTTTTCTTTTTTTTTTTTTTTGTCTCCCAAGTTCTCCGTTCTTTCGCAGACCCCTCTTTGTGCCACATATACCAAAATTGATGGTTAGCGCCTTTCCAAGTTTTATTGCTCTACAAAGCAAGGTCCCTGCAAAATTGCAATCCTTCTCCGCCCTACGACTCAGGCACGACTGCACTAGCTATCCGCAATTCCCGATGATATCTGACGCCACTTCAACCTCCTATCCCATGTTGGCCAGCAACCCGTCTTAACCCACAATCCACCAGTTTTCCCCATTTTCCATATCCCGCACTAATAATCCGGAATGGTCTAACGGTCATGATTTCCGCTTGTCACTTGTATAACAAGCGCGGGAGACCAGGGTTCGACTCCCTGTTCCGGAGATCTTTTTTGTCGATTACTCCCCTTTTTCTCCACCTTTTCTTCCTCTGAAGAAATCAGCGGAAATTCGTCACACTTCCAGCAAGCATCCGGAATGGTCTAACGGTCATGATTTCCGCTTGTCACTTCCAACTAACAAGCGCGGGAGACCAGGGTTCGACTCCCTGTTCCGGAGTTCAAAATTTTTTTTTTTTTTTTTTTTTTTTGAGTATCCTGAACCAACTTCCCGCTGGCCAGGAAGTCCGGTATGGAGCGTGCATTTTTATTGTCTTATCGGAGCCACATATTCATTCTTTGTGCAATTAAAAAGAAATTTCCTGGCTAGGAACCTGGTTAACGACGGGAAACGATATATTTAGCTCCATAGCCCAACGATCTGCAACTTGCTTTTGAGAACTACCGGGAGAAGGCATTGCATTCTATTGACAATCCTCACTGTCGACCCTGTGGCTCTCCGTAATTGGGTGACGCAATAATGCGATCCACACTCCTTTGATGATTGATCGACCTTCCCTCGGGAGAGGCGTAGATAGTTGAAACTTAACTGAAGGCGGAGATGGAAGAAAATATTCCAGCCCAAATCCCCGGATAAGTTGCGTCTCCTTTTTAAGGCTAGCATGTTCGAGCTTGTCATGCATATGTATGCTCTTGTTGCGTTTGGTGGCCGAAAGCAAGAAAGCTTTTTCATGGTATAACTATCTTGATTAGAGAACGCCGTATATTCCAAAGTGCCCAGGGTTGCTTAGTGATTTCTTTGCACCATCTCTCGTGTTCTTTGAGTCAGTGATTCTCAAATAAATGGAGGAGTCTGACGGGCACTCAGGCCGACTTATGAATGACGCAGGATTAACTCGGTTCCTGAAAGCCAAAACTGCGATGCTCAATATTTAAGCCTTCCTGGGGAAAGTAAGAATGGACCTGAAAAACGCTGATGTCTTCCCCTGGCTTTCTCGTCCATACCAGTCATCTACCGTAAAAAAGAGCATCGACTACTCCATACATGTGTATATAGCCATACAAGAGGTGGCTTTTTTCCATCGCTACCATATTCACGGACCAACCTCAATCAATTAGCAGGCGAAAAGCGAGCAGTTGGAACCCCCAAAGTTGGAGCATTGAGTTCTAAAATTGATAAACTGTAAGGCATCTGTACATGATATGGCGAAGGTCATACGTTAGGTAGCACTATCTGTGAAGCAGGCAATAAGAGACAAGCCCCGGGTCTTCAGTCGTGACACAGGAAAGTCTGAGATTTGCAGGCCACTCTAACTATCGAGTCCAGAGTGGATGGATTCTCGGAATGCCACTTCACTCGGACGGTCGGACCTTGGGGGCAGCTCTCCCATTATCACCGCTACGTTGTAGCGGTGGCTGTAGGGTACAATCGACAACACAAGAATCAACGAACGCGGTCGTGACTTATCGCGGTGGCTAGGCACGTGATATCGCGTTTCTTCTCTTGGCGCGCCAGCGCAGTGTCATATAGTTATATACACATATTTCTGGAAGGCCGTTGGATGGCATGGGAAGGGCGTTTAATTCCTCAAGATGGCATATTACGACATTGATGAAATTCTAACTGATGCACAAGTAAGTCAGTTACCCTGGATCAATGGTGCAGGAGGCTAATCGCTGATGCTTTCCAAGAAACTGCCCTGCACTTTCGAACTAGAGGTTCCAGGGCTGGGTTTTCTCGATGGGAACGTCGGCGAAGACGTGCGTTTTGCGATGTCTAATGATATTGCCCCAATGTCAAAGTCAGGGAATTGACTCTCGGAGTTTGTAGATCAAGGCCGGATCGCGGTTAGATGTGCCCCTATGGCTGGGAGTAATGCTTGCGGTGGGGTACGCTTCCCTCAGCCTCCATTTTCCTGTCTCGATCGTGAGTTGATGCTGAGATTTTTTTTTTTTTTTTGGTACAGAGCCAAGGCTGGCTCTAATCCGCTGGTCAATCTGGATATCCCCCAAGCACTGTCGGAGCCGGTGATGAATGCGCTTAAGGCTGATCCGCGGACGGTGGACCTTCGATCTTTAGCATCACATTTTTACAGACTGGGCGTGAAGATACTACAACTCTTCGAGGAAGAAGAAATGGTAGAGATTCTTAGTGATGTACGCACCCCGGACTGCTTCTTCGTCCCCGCCGCGGAGCTTTTAACGAGTCCATGTCTTCTTTCCCCTTTCCCCTTTCCCCTCGTTTGTTGACTACTCATTTTGTAGACTTTCAAAAAGCGCGCGATGCAAATTGCGGATCATGCCCACAACCCAACCGGGGCGCTGGGAGGTGGAGTTGAATTTTTGCGTGGCTTGGACGAAACTGAACGGCAATGTAAGTAGCGACTAAGTCTCCAAAATACCTCTTTTCCAGGCACCTTTTGCCACGTTCTCAGCTAGTAGAAGGCTGATGGACAGTGGTACAGTGTTTCGCGCTGCCCATGACAGTGCTAAAGAGGCCCGTGTCTGGGCTGGAGAGGCAAAGAAGAAGTAGCGTAGCTAAGCTTTATGAGTTTCTTGAGATCATTCTCTTTATGACAGGCATGACATGGTTGGCGTTTGGTAGGACACATGGTAGTATAGTGAACGTTGGTAATGAGTTCTCATCTGAAAGAGTTTGTCTTCATTCGTTTAGTGTTTCTTTAGAATCATCTGTTTGTACGGAGTACTCTGTGATTGTTTTTATACAAGCAATGATATCATCAATATTGGCATGATACTCTGTGATTACAGCATAGTTTGGAAACTCGACTGTCGCCACGATATTCGATTTCTATTCTATTGAAGGCCGTTCTTTGATACTCGAGACCTTGTAGCAGTCAAATAGCAAGAATTACAACTCGATTTTGTTGGATATGCAGCAAGATGATGGGATAGAAAGGAAAGGGGCAATGCAGGGAACAACGCACGAGTTGGCTGGCAAGTCACAGTAACTTGATAGGCGGCATGGCAGCTGAACCAAGGAGTTAGGGTTCGGGAGGCTGGCGACGGGATCCCTGGAATTTTGAATCTTAGCTAGCATGGCCCGGACCATGCGCTAACGACACATCAAGCGATGATTGATGCTGCGATATCCCCACAGACTGATTGTGCAAAGAGTCTTCTAAAGTAGAATCAAGAAATAACAGTATTCAGTGGTTCTTTTCTATTCCTGTGTGGGCAGGTTTTTGAATTTAACAACATCATGGGCGCATCGCTTTAGTCTTTGGTGATGTTTGCTACCGCACCAGCGATTGAGGTTTGAAAGGGCTTCGTTGGGAGTGGGGAGGACGGCACTTAGCGTGCGTTGCAGGGAAATTTCCCCGGCGTTGGAGCTCTTTGTGTGGACGGCCGTCGCCGCTTGGGATTCGCCAGCCTCCCTGCAAACACGCTATCACAGTTGATGCACATCATCCCTCTCTTTGCCGTCTCCCCTGAAAGTCTGCGGTCGCATTTTCAGCTCGCTCGCGAATGTGAGTGTTTCACCTCTTTCTTGAGGAAAACGCTCACCTCCAAGGCAAGAATTTTTGTCGCGAATTCCAGTCTTCTCTGCCGGCAATTGCCTGTCACTCGATCCTCAATTCCTCAATGGGCTCCTTGCACAACACAAAGCGAAGCAATTTACTCCGTACAAGGCCTGATTTAATGTTAGAAACTGCCGGAATGATCATCAAACTGCAAGAGAGGTGATCAAGAACAAGGACGCGTTTTGACATTCACTGTTTACCTGCCGGATCTCTCAATTAAAAATGGATTCAATCAAACAGGGACGTCAGTCCACTATAAACACAGGCTCTCCACCTGCGCACTTCAACCCTTCCAGGATGTCCTCCAGTTGTCGAAAGCAGCTGAGTGAGCTCTCGCCATTACCCAAATCAGCATCCCTCCCAGATCTAACTGTCATTGTGAGAAAGGCGGATCAATCACCCCGGAACGTACCATACATCGGCAACCAAGGTGTTCGTCTCTCCATGTGTCTAAGGCATCTGTGAATGATGTCCATGCAGGTTGTACTTGTGTTAGCCCTATTTATGCAAAATTATCCATCTAACCGCCTTCACAGATTACCGAGACATGTCCACTAGCCATTCTTCCCCAGGAGGCTACCGGCCAATTACGCCACGGAGTGAGATCTGACCTTGGAAATGACCCTTGTTGTATGGGAAGAAGAATGCTAACCGGAAATGAACCTGCTTAGGGGCTTGCTCTACCCCTCTCGGTGTTAATCCGAACTCTGCTCTCCTCAAAGATATGATCAACGAACGACGCGCAGCTCGTGGTACACGCCCATCAGGTTCATCAGAACATGGCAGCAATGACCGATCACCAAGTGTTACTGCAGGCCCGTCAGGAAATTTGGCAACTTCCGAGAAGAGCTACAAGATTCACAACGCCATCTCTGCTGGCCTGAAAGAACCAACAGACATGGGCCTCAGGGAAATGAACAAGGTGTGTTTCTGCTCGTATCTCTAAACTGTTGACAGATTTAAACTAACAATTGTATCCAGTACATATCGAAAATTAACAAGGAAATATTTGACTTGAAGCTTGAAATTGTCCACCGAATAGAACATATAAATACCTTGAAACAGAAACTGGAGCGAATACCTGAATTGGAAGAGCAAATCGAGAAACTAGAAGCCTCGCGTGTGGAATTACAGGAAGAGAATCAGAACCTTCAAAATGAGCTTGACAGGCGAGATCGAGGCCTGTATGAGGCAGTCGGGCTTATATGCGATTTAGAAAACAAAATTGAAGATATGGCAGCTGAAAGGGTTGAGGCGCCATCGACTCCCCACCCTTATCGTATCGTTGAACCCGTTCCATCTACCGAGACTCTGGATGAGGGTCAAACGCCAAAGAACGCACCAATGATTGATGTACCGGACAGGACATCATCGCGTAGAGGGACAACCTCCGCAACGTCTCGCCGCTCGCGCGTCCTCTCTTTACGGCAGACGCGACGCCAACCGTCCTTCCTCCAAGATCAGACAGAAAGCACAAGTGCGTTGCGAAGCCTATATTTCGAGGATGTAAATAGCTCGCGGCGGTTTAGTATTTTTTCAGGCCACGAGTCGGAAGCATTGGATTCACCAAGGTTGAGTGCTCTTAGTGAGTGCAGCGATTTGAACCCGCCTCCAAGTCCTATAAAGCTAGGTCAATCTCAGATAGCGAATGTGACACCTTCCCAAAATTCTACCCCATCCCCAGACACGGGAACGGTGAGACATCATGAGGCTATTGGCAGTAAGTTCTCGCGGATTGAGCAATGGATCCCAGCCCATTCGCCTCTACAGGTCACTCACGATCAGACCCCTACGAAGCCTGAAACAACAAGTTTCCACGGCTCATCTCGAAAACAACCAGCGCTTGGAGCTGCATTTGAAGCCAAACGTAATCCGTCCGGGTCAAAACCTCCACCCACCCGAGACAGTGCAACTTTTGGAGGACGGCTACCGCCCACCCCAGACACTATGAGCACTTCCTTCATCGACCCTCGGAATCGGTCTAATCCAAGCATCATTGAGGAGCGAAGCATGTATGGAACTGCACGCATATTTTCTTCCGTAACCAGTGTGGCCTCCATGGGTCGTCCTGGACCGGCTGGAGATATAACAACTCGCCCTAGCACCGCCGATACTGCTCTGCTTAACGGAGCTGAGCCTTGGAATTATCCTGATTTTGCAGCCGACCGTAACGCTCGACTCAACAGCTTGTTTCCTCCCCCAACCTATACTCGTCACTTATCCGAACCCCCCCCGGGTATGTATATCGACGAAAGTCACTATGACACGAAGAAGGGCGATTCTCTCCTGAGTGTGACGCCACCAAAATATGCTGCTTCTATAAAGTCGACAATGTCGGACTCGGCTATATCGCAGTTTTCGCGCAACAAAACTGTAACAAATTCGCATATCCTGTCTCCAGAGGATTGGTTGGAAGCCGCCTTACCCATCTCAAACGATGATATTGCCCGGGCAGACAAGCGGGCCGACGTGGAGCCAGAAGTGTATAAATCCGCGGAAGTATATGAATCCGGTGATCAGACTAATGCTGGACCTCCTACGACGCCTGTTAGTCGTATTCGGCATAAAAGACTGGCTTCAATGAACCCAAACGATATGCGCCGGCGTTTCACCCTCCGCATCTTCGGTCGTTCCAAACCCAACAGCCCCTTTTCTGCGGATCCGGATGCGGAAGAGACAGAACCTTATCGTGGAAGTCAAAATAAGCGGCCCGGTACCGCCCGCCGTCGTAGTATAAAATTCGATCCATCACCCACGACGCGAGATCGCCCTCTTTCCCTACATTCTGCTACAGGAGCCGAATTAGCCAAAAGACCACGCACATCCAACAGCATGGAGAATGTCAAGAACTTTCGCCGTGCACAGCACAGTGTTTTCTCCTGGTTTAAAGGCCCGAAACATTCCAATGGTCCCGAAGCTCCAGGGAGATTGAATTCTCAGCCTCCTGGGCGACCAAATTCAGCATGCGAGATTAGAAATCGGTCTAGTGTTCAGTTGACTCCTAAACCTGGCACCTCAAACCACGCTTCGACTATGAAAAGTCGCTCTCGGCATCCACTTTCCGGGCAACTAACTTAAAAATTCACACTGTACAATGAACATGCAACCTTGATACTAACACTATGAGCCTGTTTCTGTCACTTGGCAATGATGCCTTGCTTTATTGATTATTGTTTGAATGTGTATTTGTTTATCATGACTCTTCTGATGACATTCTACAAAATGCTATCACGCATACTATTGATGACTTGCTGCGAATATGCGAAATTATGCTAATTACATGAGTGTTTGTATTCTTATCGACTATTTTTTACTTATGAACTATTGATGACCTCCTTTGCGCTACTTCCTCTTACAACTGTACAATATATCCCTATGTTAAGCTCCCCTGCAACATTCTTGAACTCCTTCTGGTACTTTGGGATGAGCCCTTCTGAATAGGTGCTAGCAGTATAATGCTGACACGATATTGTGCTGCTACTACTGATGACTAGCTCAAGAAGCGTTGATCATAGAATTAATGGTTTAAGCCCACGAATACAAATGATTTTATTATCATATTCAAATAAGGCATCCAGAGATTTTGACCTTTTGTAAATTTTGAAAATCAAAGCCCGACAGTTTAAATACCCGTTGTGTGATAATATACAGATGGCGTCTAGTCCAGCTATGGGCCTAAGTTACTCGGTTTTAGGCAAATCTCTTTTCAACTGTCTTCCAGTTGATAACATCCCAGATGGCACTGAAATATTCCGCCTTGCGGTTCTCGTATTGAAGGCTAGAAACCATAAGTCAGGGAAAGAGAATGATGAAAATGAATAAGGACGGGGAGAACTAACTAGTATGCGTGCTCCCAGGCATCGATTCCTAGAAGAGGGGAGAATTGTCCGACAACAGGATCTTGGTTCTGAAAAGAAGAAGGACTGTCAGCTCAAAACCACGAAGCGCCAACTTTAGAACATAGATCCGGAAAGGTCTACCCACAGCATAGGTCTTGATCATGATATCTCCAGTTTGCTTATCCTTGACCAGCCAGCCCCAGCCGCTTCCTTGGATTCCTGCCAGAGCCGCGTTGAACTTCTTCTTGAACTCTTCCAAGCTGCCATATTTGTCGTCAATAGCCTTTGCAAGCGGACCGCTTGGTGGCTCGCCGCCTCCGTTACTGCGTGGGGCAAGGTTCTCCCAGAAGAGGGAGTGGTTGGCGTGTCCACCGCCATGGAAGTTGGTCAAGAACTGCAATGAGACCTGGGACTGGATGTCTAATTTATCTTGGGCTTCGGCAAGCTTTTGGACGGCGTCGTTGTACGAGTTCACATAGGTTTGATGGTGTTTCTTGTGGTGGAGCTCCATGATTCTGCCGGAGATGGAGGGTTCAAGAGCCCCATAGTCATCTGTTTACTCGAAAGAAAGAGAGGGGTATTTAGCATCCACTGGCTTTGATCAACAGGGGTGACAGTGGCATAGTGAGATTCGGAGCAGGTATCGGTGCACTTCAAAACATACAGGGCAGATCAGGAAGTGTGGCCTTCGCAGCGAAGAAGCGAGAGCCAGCGATCCCTGAGAGACCAGCTCTACTGGCACGGACTGTGGAGATGCCGGCACGCAGAGCGCTGATGGGCAGCGAGGAGCGGAGAGCGGTGGTAGCCATCGTGATTGTGAGAGACAGTCTTCTCGGTAAATTTTTCGGAAGAATCAGGATGTGAAACTTCTTGACGCAGCACCACCAATGAAGCAGAAAATGCTATATGAGAGCAAAATACGAGTATACAGGAGAAATTGGACCTTTTTATACCCGGGCAGAAGGATTCAAGGAAATGTTATGACAGAATTCGGCCAGTCACTCAGAAAATCCGGGCAGAAAGGGCGACAGCGGATGGTCAGTGTTTACTAATCCCCGTGCCTACCTTCATCAGTAAGCTGGGTCTTGGCAAAACGTCATTGTCGCCCCACCCTGCCATTATCTAAAGATGTGCTTATGTAATTCATACCGCCTTCCCCAAAGGGGCAATTCTGGACTCCTTTGAATGAAGAAGAACAGCGACAGCAGGGAGACAATCAACGCCCTGAGGAAGCCCCTGATGGGACGGCGATGATACTAGGATAGAAGACGGAGGTTTTCTTTCTCTTGGGCTTGCTGCTTATGTTTTCTTAATCAGTGGTAGTTGGTTAACTAGCTGCCACAAAACCATGGAGTCGACATATCGCCCGTCCTTTGGCCATAAACGAAAGATAAACGACATTGAATCTGAAGAAGAAGAGAACTACAGACCTGCATTCGGCTTTCAGAAGTTTGCTTCAGCTTCGTCAAGATCCCCCTCTCCTCCCGCCGCTACGAAGCCCGCGAATCGCCCATCATGGCGCAACCAGACTACCTCCTCTCCGAAACCAGGCCCCGGCGGGAAGCCGTCGTCCATGGGCGGAAACTCCTTTGCCGCCAGAATGATGGCAAAGATGGGTTACGTCGAAGGTCAGGGTCTCGGTGCAACCGGTCAGGGTATTGTTAATCCTGTTGAACATGTTTTGAGACCACAGGGTATCGGTTTGGGAGCTGTTAGAGAAAAGTCTAAACAGGCGAGAGAGGAGGCCAAACGTGAAGCCACCAGAAGAGGCGAAGTTTTAGAAGACAGCTCAGATGAGGAGCTGGCCAGGCGCCAAAAACGGAGAGAAGCACGTAGGCTAGGGGCTGACGGTACTAGTGGCACGAGCACACCCAGAGGTGCTCCGAAACAGAAGTATAGAACGGCGCGAGAACTCGAAACGGATACAGCTGGTCTGGAAATCCCCAACGTTTTGAAATCCCTAATTGATGCGACGGGAAAGGAACCAAAGCTGTTAACATCCACAGCTGGCTTGATGACACAATTGGACTTTGTTAGCGCAGAGGAATCTGAAGCCCTCAAGATCGCGCAAAAAGCGCGGAATGAGCTGGAAGCATTCGCCGATGAATGGAAAAGCATCGAGGAGAGAAAGAAGTTTGTCGAGTTCGAGAAAGCCCAAGTAGCAGAAGAGATAGATACGACGCAGAAGAAGATTGAGCAAATGTCGTCACTGAAATCAGCGGTCCAGGCTTTGGAGAATATGAGCCTCGAGGATACGCTTGATGATCGATGGGAAAAAACAACGAAGATCCTAGAAGATATCGAATCTCGATATCAAGACGTCCTTGTTGAGTACGGGCTGCCTAAAATTGCCGTTGCTGCTATCCAACCTCTTTTCCGGCAATCCATGGAGGAATGGGAACCACTCAACAGACCAGACTACCTTGTCTCAAATATTCGACGACTATATCGACTTATGAATGCGAAAGAGCATGACCCGGACGAAGAGTATGAACTTCACGCTCGGCAGTCCACAACTTTATACGAGACTCTATTTTATACTATTTGGCTACCTCGCGTTCGCTCTGCCCTTGTCAATGATTGGAATGTACAGGATCCAGCCCCAGCCACATCGTTGATCGACTCCTGGAAAGATGTCCTGCCCGAATTTGTCCTCTCAAACCTTCTTGATCAAGTCATTGTTCCCAAACTTAGTACCGCAATAAAAGGTTGGAGACCTAAGAGGGGAAGTAGGCACGAGTCGTCGGAACAATTCCCTTGGTTCCTTTTTGATTGGTTACGTTATTTGGGTGACCATCATACTGATCCAAAAGCGCCCAGTGGCATTTTATCGGATACAAAGCGCAAGTTCCGCAGCGTCTTGGACAAGTTGGACCTTAAAAAAGGACTACTCAAGGATATCGACTTGTGGAAGGATGTTCTTGGTTCCGAATTTGATACGGCTCTTAGGAATCACCTCTTACCCAGATTAGCAAGGCATTTACACGAAAACTTCGAGGTTAACCCCCAAGATCAGGACCTGACAACCTTCGAAGATGTGATGGCATGGAGACGTTATTTCAAACCAAACGTGTTCGCTCTCCTTCTCTGCGCCGAATTCTTCCCCAAATGGCACTCAATATTACACCTCTGGTTAACCTCTGATCCTAACTACGAAGAAGTCGGGCAGTGGTTTACGTGGTGGAAGTCGCAGATACCAGAAGAAATCAATGCTATAGACGACGTCATTGAAGAGTGGAATGGGGGACTTGAAATGATGAACCAAGCACTTGATCTTGGTGACAAAGCGAAAACAGAACTGCCACCACCCAAATCTAGCAAAGAGCAACAACGTCATCTCCAGAAAGAGATCCACGGAAGACACCATGTCCCTAAAGAGCCACCACCTCAACCCTCTCGTCGAGCAAAACAAATCGAAGAACCCACATTTAAGGATATTGTCGAAGAATGGTGCGCTGACGAGGGCCTACTCATCGTTCCACTTCGCGAAGCACATGTTCAAACTGGACTACCGCTATTTAGAATAACTGCTAGCGCGAGCGGGAAAGGAGGCGTGTTAGTGTATCTGAAAGGAGACGTGGTATGGGCACAGAATAGGAAAACAAAGGACGTGTGGGAGCCAGTGGGTTTAGATGCCGGACTTGTTGCGAAGGCAGAGGGGAAATAATATCGCTGTTTTTATAGTTTGAGGAGAGCACCTTCGACAATGCATGCTTAGTGGATAATTTAGAGCAATGAGGTCTATAATCCATATCACAGTTCCGAGGAGAGTTTGCACGAGGTCCCGACTTGCCCTTGGCCCGTCATCCAACACCGGGCGTGTGCTCCCATTCCTTACTTACACCTAAAACACCAAAAAAGGATACATATGATCATGAAATTGAACCAACCAAAACCAGCTACTTATGTAGCTACAAAGTAAACAATACGCGATAGAAAAAGCAAAGGGATTCCCATAACATAGAATACCCAATTCGTCTCGACTCTCTGAGAGACCGGGATATAATGGAAAATATTTTCACAACGCTCATAAATATATTAACATTAACATGTAGAACGAAAATAACCTTCTTGGGTTATGCATCAATTTTTTGGATTGCATATGGAACTGTGAGGCATCAGGAATTTAACCTTTTGCAAGATATTTTTCATTAAAAGCATTGACAGCTGAAAATCACCAATTAGTAAAAGTCCGTTTCTCGTAACAGAGATATACTTACCAATGGCGATTTGTTTATACAGCCAATTCCTTGAACTCTCTTCCTGTACGGGTATAAACGGACCGTTAGCTCCACCCTTCAAGGTAATGCTCATTCCCGTTCTTTCTTTCGAAATTTTCTGGATGTCGGTTAACTTGATATCCCATTCAGTCGCTAATTTCTTCGATCTGACGAGCATGATGCGGTTGTAGGTTAGCAGAACCAGCATATCCTTTCCAGTGAATTCCAGGTGTGCAATGTAATCTTCGTTAAAGTATTTGCCGTCGTCCGTAGTTTTGAGCCAGAATTGCCCAAGAGCTTCTCGCTGAGAATATGGCCGGACAATGCCATCCATGGCAATGAATCGAGTAAGACGGACACGATCCAGGCCTTCAGGGTCGAAGACAGTAGTCGTGTTTCGAACACCTTCAGCGAGATCTACAAATTAACGTTAGTGGGAAATGGGAATAAGTGAACATCGAGATAACGTACTGGAAGCAAGGTCAAATGCGCCAATTGCTGGCTTCGTTGCCAGACCCCACACTCCTTTTGCAACACCTTTCATAAAGCCAGGGAATCCTTCTTTCTCGGCACCTTCTAGTGGATGGCGGGCTAAGCCTCCAATACCACTAGCCATGCTCGAAGCGAATGCACTTCCACCAGCCGTAATACCATAAAGGGCATGTTTGGGCCTGTTTCGAGCTTTTGACATTCGCCTTTGATCTTGGAACTCCTTATCCAACGTTGCAGCGGCAAGACCTTTTGAAACGCTTCCAGTGAACTTGGTAAGACTGTCAGATAGCCCAAATACAGACTTCTTAACAAACGACGTAGCACCCTTAGCGATGCCTAGGCCAAGCTCATTTGGTCGATCAGCTACTAGCCCCTGGTATGGTTCGTAGAATATATCTGCAACGCCAGAGCTAACTGTATTGAACAAACCAACAGGGTTACCCAAGAAATCGGCGGAACCCAGTACAATATGTACTTGTCTCAGGAAGTCTTGAGTATAATGATTGGTGATATTTGTCACGAGGGTAGGGAGAGATATCCTGGCATTCTCCAGGATCAGCGCATTTAATCGAACTGGAGCATCGTTAACATTGCCGATGGACATAGTCATCACGTTGACAAAGAACATTAACGGGTTGGAAGACTCGACTGTGTCTTCCACATTGACACGCTCGGTACGCACGAATGACAGATCTAACTGCATTGGTTGTATGTGGAGTAATTCGAAGTAGACACCCGTGCCTTGGTCTTCTCCTTTAGGCTCTGGAAACCCGAGTTCCTCACCGAACTGCGTTTGGTGGTCGTCCATCAATAGCGTATCCTGGACCTTCACAAAATCAAGCATGGCAAAGATGAAGTCTTCATCGAGCTCCAAAGTCATCTGCTGTAAGAGGACGGAGGCATACTTGATATAAAGCACTCCATAAGAATCATCCTTTACACGAGTAATTCTCGCGTTGAAAATTGGATGGGCCTCCATTTCTCTCCCGGTTTTCGGAACGACACTTGGATAAAGTAGAATCGGGAATATGCCACCGTAAAGCTGATTATCAATTTGAATCCATTTGATTGTAGTGCCAACAGTTTGATAAAGCTTCGATTCACTGAAGTTAACTTCGATATCGCGGAATGTGACATAGACGAGCTCCTTAAGCTTTTTGTTGATTAATGAAATTCCTATTCCGCTTAATCGTAGCTGAGCCTTAAAAGTGACATCTGTATTGACATGCTTGACTTCGAATCCCGTGGAGATGCTGCTTTGCGAAGCTGTTGGCTTTTGTTGACGGTAAATACTCCTGGATGGTCTGTAATTTGACAGCACAAGTATCTGTGCCGGACCTTCAGCTTCGATTCGCAGGTCGATGATCTTCGGCTGGACGTCCTCTTGGGACGGTGGAACTCTCATGGGTATCAAGTTACCAATCTCAGTAAGCTTGATATATCTTTCCTTTCCGCGGCAAACGAGGACCAGTGTTTTATTCTTAGAAGCTGGATAGTCCCAAGCATATGGCATAATGCTTCGTGGGGGAAGCCGATAACGAATGGGCCTCCAACCACTACTTCGGTCTTCTTCGTCTTCCGCCACATTTGGGTTCTACACGCCGTTAGTAGAGTGGCTCCACTCAAAATCAGGGAATCGGGACTTACAGCTTGATAAAATAGGAATTCGCAGTCACTCTCATTACGCATTGAAAATGGCCAATGCCGAGTCTCCATACTTATATGCAAAAATATCGTCGCTGCCTCCATGAGAATCTCTATCCTCAGGAGCCTCTGGCGTTGGCTTGCCTTGGCAAGCTTCACATATACAGTTCCCAGATCGGAGATATTAAACGGAGACGCCCATTGGTTGTTCACACCAGGGAAACACAGACACAACTGCTTCTCAGCATTTTGCCGAAGGAAATGCAGCGGAACAAGGTCGCCAGACTTTAACCTAAGAACATTGGAGGACCCCGGCTCGCGAGCAACAAGATCTTCGCCTAGCTTGTTGTTAAGAATGAAGCGGGGAGCGATTGTCACAACCTTCGTGATTTTATATTTGCCGGTGCCTTCTTCGACAGACACTCCAGCATGATATTCCGTTTTACCGCTTGCGGAGGGGAACAGTACTTCAAAGGTACTTCCAATCGCCTCTAAACTTTGAGGCTTGCTCCACGATGAGCCTTCAACTTTGATAATGGATCGATTTTTGCGGTCATTCGTAGCATATGAGTACATATACGGAACGGCTTTTCGAACACCGCTAGATGAGTCCGTTCTAATTGCACGGCCCGCTGATGTCCTGGTAGATTGGAACATACTCTTGCCCTGGATGTTTATATCCAAACCCGTCCTATTTAGAATAAGATAAGGGCTGTAAACGGATACTTTGAACGACCCGCCGCTATCTGGAATTGCAAAGTAATGGAGCCCCAGTTTGAGTTCAACTCCTTTGTCGTCTTGGATGGACAGAGTGTGCTCCTTACGAAAATCATCCTGAGGAGTTCCATTTATAATTGCGAATTCGCATTGCCGGAATTCCGTATCTTCCATGTCTATACTGAGAAGCAGTAGGTGAGACAGCTCAACCACGTGGACAGGACTAGTTCCTCCCTTCCGAAGGAAGTTTGTCCAATCTTTACGTGTATTCCTGTCGTATATGCGATACTTGAAGTCGTATGGAAGGAGATTCTGGATTTCAAGCGGGGCCGAAAGTCGAATGCGCATATAAGGGTATACATTGTGAATCGGATCATTCTTGTCAAACGTGGCATGCATCCTAAAATAGAATGGAGGGGCTTGCTGCCCACTCTCGCTGTTGCACTTGAGAGACTTCGTAGGAAGTTTCAAAAGATCCCTCCAAAACAGGCTTTCTGTTGACCAGTCGTAGCCAAAGCCCTGATCTGGTCGAACGAGAAGTGAACGCATATATGCCGCACCAATAGGAGCTGGTCGACTATCTCCAGGAAGGATCTTTTCTACCTTCAACAGATGTCCTTCTTCCGGACTGAATACGCCAACTTCTAGAGGTATTTGTGTCTTGTTTTCGACCAGAAGTGGAGACCGGAAGGTTATATATTTAACGTAGTCAGATCCAAGACTGATTTCCACTAGTAATCGGTGCAAAACCCTATCTTGCTTCGGTTTCAGGTTATATAGCGTCTCCCCTTCGCGGATGAGAGGAATGCGGTTAATGCTGTCAAATCCGCTACCTTCCAATTTAACTCCAACCATACCAACACTGCCCTCTGGAGCCAGGCTCTCACGCATGGTGGTAGGATCTTCGAATCTCCAGGGCCGTTCTTCACCATCGCTCAGGAGCGCAGCTGGACCCTCTTCACCGTTTCCGAGGTCTGCCCATACCTGAAGGTCAAATCCGGTATGATTTCGAATTCTATAAGGCGCGTCTGCCCCCCTTGGTTTTGAAAGGACGTCCTCGGTAGTGGATACGGACTGAAGGGTTTTGTTCACCAATGCGATAGTAGCAGATGTCACAGTAAGCTCCATAGTTTTGTGCGAATATGCTTCAACTGATAGGACATCCGGAGCTATCTCCTTTGACATATGGAATCCTAGTTGCCATGGCTCAATCAACGGTTCCCAGGCAGATTTCGAGAAATTGTAGACATTGATAAGGGTATCCATTGTAGTATCCGCACTCATGTTTCCGGACCAGTCGCGAACATCTACATTAAACTGTTTTACCCTCCAGTCAACAAGTGGGAGCATATGCAAATCACCAATGAGTATCACTCGCACACCATCAATCTGAACAGACATTTCCTCCTTCTTCATGATCGCTGACTGTTGCACGGCTGGCTTGGGTGCAGTATTTGGGCATAATGCAACTTGGCCGGCACTGAAAGATTGACCCCTTGATCTCCTCCTAGCATGAGAGGCATCTTTAGATGTTGGCTTTTTATCCTTAGTATCAGTCGTTGACGGTGAAGTGTTCATCTCAGAAACTTTGTTCATGATCTGGAGGGCAAGAACGATATCTCGAGGCGACAGGCGAAGAATCAATGGGTCAACATGAACATCGATCCTCGTCATTGTACACCCGCGTCCTTTCGATCGAATATCCATTGATAGTTCCAACGTGAAGTCATCAAGTATTCTGAGTCTACTCGTCTCGAATTTGTCCATTCGGCATAGGAACATTCCAATCTTTGATATTTGTAAAGTAGACGCATTTTGTTGAGAGTAGAGCACTTGTTTCGTGCCCAAAACTATGGCTTCGGAGTTCGAGATTGTGGGATTTGCCACCAAGATCGCCTGGGCATCCACAATATTCACCCGAAAGGCTATCGGTATCGGCGTATCCTCCGCTTTAACTTCAGTGGTATTCGATAACACATCCTCTCCACTGACTGCAACATCGTCAGAGCTAAGTACGTCCTGGGATTCTTCGTCAGAGTACTCTGAAAGTTCATCAACGGGTTCTGACTCGGGTGGAAAAGCTGCAGAGACGAACGATTGCAGGGCGAAGAGGTAATCCAGAGCAAAGATAACCCTCGGGCTGTCAATGGTTAGCATTGCTATGATCTTTCGCTCCGCACCGCCGGTCATTGACAAGCTGGCCATGAACTGCTGTTGCACATCTGTGTTAATCAAGGACATGATCTTGCGGTACCGATTGGTCTCGTTCTTGCGACTATCCCGCACGTTAAACGAGTGGATTAACAATTCGGTCTCAAGAGATCCGTCGCTCAACATCTGAAGCTTGACATTGGTATTGCTGAGGAAGAATTTTGAAAGGCTGGCATCGTCGAGTGAACCTACAGGCTCGTTCTCTTTAGCCAATATCAATTCTAGGCCAAGAGTATCCACTTTGAACGCAAAATCAAGTTGTACCCAGGTATCCGGCTCTGGCCTGATTTCCGGGGCCAAGTTTGACACACTCTGAGATTCTTTCGATTCAGACAGAGGCTCATCCGACTGTGCTTCACCACCTGTGAGGCCCGGAAGTGCCTCCGCTGCTTCTTGCTCTTGTTGATCTTGGTCTGGGGTTAATGCTGCAGGAATAGTCCTTGAGAGCTCAGTCAGGAGTTTCAGTTGCATCTGGGATATCCTCAAATTAATAGGCGACATTAAGCCTTCGACCTTTATATCTGGGCGAGAGATATTCGCCTGATGAACCAAATATTGAATATTGAAGTCTAGATCAACTTTCTCGATCATCTCCAGTTCCTCAGAGTGTTCATCTGAGTAATAGAAATTAGAAGTTAGGCGGATGTGTCTGATACCCGCAGAAACACAGTTGAGGTTGGCTGATGCATCTCCTTCAGTCAGTTTCTCGAATTTGTTGTTGGCATATATTTCCCCTAAATGTGCTGTGACGAAGTCTCTAGGACGATCATTTTCGGTAATCCGCGGGAACACCAGAATAGGTGTCATCACAACAATATCAAAACGCATCAACGACGCAGTCTCTTGTATTTGACTCGCTTGATTTGCTGCAGCCTGGCGGGCAGCATTGAAAATGGCTTGCATCTTTCCAAACTTCACGAGGAAATTAATTATCCTTCGATAGGGCTCCTCGATGAAATTGATTTTGATGGAGCCCGATCGGAGCACCACCTCAGAGCTATAGCCAGGATAATCTGCTTGATTAGGATCGAACGTTTGATAGCGAAAATCGGCAAAGTCATCGCCTTCTATACTCAAAAGACGGGTGGTGGTTTCACCGATGTCGTCGAACATGGTAAGGCTGCCCATTCTACCTTTGACGGTGAGAGATTCACCAGCAACAAATATTCCAACGTCAGCCGTATTCAAACTCAATGTTGCAAGGCGGACGCCATCTTCATTAAATATCAGGGCTATACTCTCCAATCGAGAATTAATTCGTATTCTGCCTGGACCAGGTTCTACCCGAGCACCTCCTTCGCTTCGTTCTATTGCTTTTTGGTCAGAGATCGGAGCCTGATTTCGTTGCTCTGGGTTCGTAAATGTTATTAATATAAAATCAAGCAGTGTCAAGAGAGTCTTTCTGGTCACAATCAGGTTGATTGTGGAAATAGAAAGATCTAGGTTCATTTCAGTGCCTTCATAGACCTTCAAAAACTCTGGAGATTGCGGGTTGACTCGTATAAACTTAAGCTGGAACAAATCTTTTCCTTCTGTGGCATTGAATCCTTTCGAGGATATGATCTGCTTGAACTCGGGCGGTGCATCCTGCTCGATATGGTCGTCCACAACAAGGGACTTCAGCACGATCTCCGCCACCATATCATAAGGCCGAAGGTAATAATCCAATTGAAAGTGTTCAGCTACTAGCTCAACTAACAGCGTATCTTTCGTCTCGTCTCTAAGATCGGTTCGATAAAGAGAGCCCCTGAGTCGATCCACGGTAAATTTGAACTCGAACATACGCTGGTGATTATTAACAGGTCGTTTCGCTGGTTTCTGAACCGTCTTGTCTCCCGTATCATCAACATCTGATTCGGAATCTTGCTCCACGATCGGAACTTCTTTGCTTGTCAGCTGCACTGAAGACGACCTGACCCGTGTATCCGGAACCTCAGAAATGGTCTTAATCTTTTCATCACTGCTATCCGCCTCGCTGTCATCATCGAAATGTGGAATTGCGATATCAATTAACTTCATTAGGTGCTTATACTTCGTGTCTGACATCGAGGCATGCAGCTCTGGCAATCGACCTGAAAGACGGGTTCTGGTAAGGTCCGTCGACTTGGGCACAATGCATAGTTCAAGCACAAAATCGATGTTGATCCTATCCATGATGTGAAAGTTTCGTGACTCGGCGCCAGGAACGAGCTGCGATTTAGTCGCTTCGATCCCAGGGCCGATCAATACCTGGGTCGAATGGAGTTTGAGCAGGAATCTATCGTACATCAGATTTTGAAGCTGCTCGTAATCCTGGTCACTGTAGTCTGCCCCATGTTTCCCTTGAACCATTTTAATTGTCTCCTTGTCGACAAGTTCGCTCCGGACACAAACGTTACCGGCGTCGAGAATTAAGCAAGTAGAGCTTTCGGCTGTAATGCTCTCAGGAATAATGATTACTGGCGCTTGAATATCAAGCTGAGCGTTGATGGTTTTGTGCTCTTCTAGTGCAAATTCCAGGCCTGCTCGAGTTTGTTGACGAATTTCCTCGACCGTCGCTCCAGCAGTTTCCAGAAGCGCACCAATCGACTCCATGTGGCGCTCAGGGGGACGGAAGAAATTCACAACTTCAACTAGTACCCGAGGATTATAAATAACTTCAATGCTCTTGAGCTTCATCGTGAGAGCGGAATCTGCAGATCCGTCAAGGGGATTTGTTTCGAATTGTAAGTAGAACAGGCTATCTTCGATCTCTTCCGCTTCCGCTTCGGACCCAAGACTTTCAAGATCAGGGGAGTCGGCCTCGCCACGAGCAGCAGCATCCTTTACTCCAATTATCTGGGGGAAAAGAGTACCCTCAGTGGTGCTATCGAATAATCGTAAACCCCCGAGGTTGATTTGTGCGAGGAAGGAATCATGCCTCTGTAATGCCTTGGCCTTAAAATTATCAAAGACCAGCTTCAGGACCTCATCAGTTTTCCCATTGCGGTTTCGATTCAAAGTAAAGCTACCAGCCCTGAGGCTAGACTCGATTAAGAGTTTCACAGACTCCCGAGGGACATCGATGGATTGACTGATCGCACGTTTCTCGTCCCAGTCAATCGCATCATATAGCTCTTTTCGCTGTTCTTCAGTCATCGCGTTTTCATCCTCAGTTTCTTCCTTCTTAGAGCCCCAGATCCATTCGGACCATGACTGAGGCTTCGGCTGTTTCGGAGCGATAATATTCTCTTTTCTGAGCTGATGCCTTCCCAGAGAACGCCAGAACTTCAGATCCTCATATGTTGACTTTCCTTCCAATCGTTTTAAATCAGCCTCTTCCTCCGTGGAAAGAGCTATATTCCTTTTCTGTTTCTTAAACAATTCGATGTATCGTATACGGTCATCCCTTCGCTCTTTGATATACTCCCATGTCCACCGCCTGTTTCTCTCATGGATTTTGGTAAGGACGGCATTCCCTGCGAATCTGAACCATGCACGAGGGTCCTCCGTCGGGCGACATTTCGGCTGAAGTCTTTTGTATTCTCGATGGCGAATGAAATAGTGAAAGAGGTCAACAAGCATTAACGCATCACGATATTGGTAATCGTCTAAGACAAAACCAAGTTCATCAAATATCAATCTCGCCTTCGCCCTTGGCCGATCGGTACTTAAAGTCTTATCTAATTCGAGTCCTGCTTTCCCGCTAACTGGTTTTAATATATACTGGCCATTATCGCGGGAGTCGATTGCCTGGCGGAATTTCTCGACTAACTCTTCGTGAGACACAGTATGTGATTCACCGCCGCCACTCCTTCCAGAGCTAAATAACTCCGCATCCGTATTCCAGTAGACAGCCAAAGCACCCAAAACAGCCAGTTTATGGCTTGTTTCAGAGGTTGACTGGATAAAGGTAGGTCTCCATTCGGAATCAGTGCTCACTGCGCTGAGCTCTTTGAGAGTAAGACCCAAGGCAAAGGGATGTCCAGGCACAGCTATAGAGTCTTCGTAGCGAAAGTGTACGTTCTTAATGACTACCTGGATGTTATCAATAATAGCCGTCACCAAACTCTGCATGAAACTCTGGTTTTTCATTTGTTCCTCTTTGCTCATGCTTTCTGAGTGCTGATCCCTAAGAAGCTCAGCGCTCTCCAGCTTCTCCATCTTTATCTCGTGTTCTCGTCTTTTCTCCTCCTCTGGGTCGTAGCTGGAGTCCTCCTTCGGCGCCGCCAGTAGAAAAACATCTTCGATCTCAATCTTCACAGGCTTCCCTCTTAAATTGGACCAAGGAATGGATAGGGTAAGTTCGCCAAGGTGGCCTTCGACGACGTTCAGAGGGAGGTGGAGTTGGTCCAAGGCCTCGCGGCGTAGCTCGAGGTTTCGTAATTTCACATCTCCGGACCAGATGCCAACGTTAAGCTGCCCCGCATCGAAATTCTTAACGTACATGCCCAGGAACCTGTTGAGCAGGTTCGCAACGAGGCCTTCCAACATCTTGAAATATTTAGACTAGTTAAGGGACAGGAATCATCTGGTCAATCGGGAATTCTGCAGGCAAGGTACGATCGAAATCTGTCGAAATGTTTAGTTTCAAGAAACAGGACCGTGGGGCAATGTTTGAATCCGCAGTTGAAGTAGGAGTTTCTACAGGGCGGCGACAGTTAGTTTTAGCGATCTCAGATGTCAAAAGGCAGTTGCTGCAGGGGGAAGGGAATCAATGACACAAGTGCAGGCCTATCTCCATTTACCTACCGTACCACCATGTCTTCCCTATCGATCCAAGGCGCACACAAAGCAACATGCAACACCCACTGCAATTCGTATTAACGAAGCCCAGTTTTATTAATTTCGGAATGGTGATGGCAATTATAAGTGATGGCTTAAGTGGAACAACAACATGCTTTATTGAATTAAGCTGAATGAATGTTGGGCAGACATTGCCTGTGCGAGGAGCTTTTTACTCCAGAGGATGTTGAGCTTGGTGACGTAAATTGCGGCGGCGGCTCCCAGGTTGGAAGTCAGCCTGGTATTCGCACTCCCCGTTGACTGGTAAACCAGCAGATGATGTTGTTGCCATTGGGTCATTGGTCGAAGCTTGGTTGGAGTGTGCGTGGTAATAGTCGATATTATATGTGTGTATAAATGAACCATCTCCGCTTGAGGATTTGGGCGGGAGCATGAGGGATTATCGGACAGGGTGTGATTTTGAAAGGAGTGAAAAGCACAACAGTGCATATTTGTTTGATTAAAGTTACAGTCAGGTAAATGAAGATTGGTACGGAGGGTGGAGTAAAAATTAAAGAGTACTTTGCAGTACGGAGTAGTAATAGGAGCATCTAGTTAGTATGTATAGCTCACTTGGAGGGCATTCCAATACCAATTTTGGGGCGAAATACAATGCGCAATGCAACTGACCATTCTAAAGACTGTCCTCTGGCGCGCAGTTAACAAGACGAGAAAACTATCCCCTCAACGGAACCTTGGCATCCTCAATCCCTTTGTCAATATCCACCTTAAAATATAGAAATATCGCTATTACCATGAGGAAGATATTCGGCAGCATTGGGAACCGCAGATTATGTGTCCTATTTTGAATAACACCCTGCACCAGGGGGTTAATCCATCCGATTGCAAGATCCAATGTTATCTCAAGACCAAAGAATTGCGCCTCTGATCCCTTTGGAATGAGAGATGAATATACAGCTCGGTTGTACGAGCGTAGGGCACTACTCGTACTCAGGAAGAGGACTTGTTCCACCCAGAATTCAGGCTGGTTCTTGAACCCAATAGGAACATTAGGGTTGATCCCGATGCAGCCCCAGAGGAGACAGAGAAAGTTGACAGATAAGAAGACATAAGCCCACCTCTTTACCGGGATCTTCACGCGGGGGAAGATAAAAAGGAAGCTTAGACTTCCCAAGCTAGCGCAAAGAACGGCGGTAAAGCTCCAGACTTGGTACACACCTGAACCATTGCTAATTCCCGTGACCTCTAGAAAGAGTGCCTGGATCAGGCTGTTGTAGTTGCTATAAGCGGTATTCCAAAGAACCCAGCCGATGCAGAGCTTGAATGCTTCAGGATACCGACGCACGGAAGAGAACATGCTCACCCAACCTTTAATCATAAGGTGGAAAACATTTTCTCCTTTCGGCTTCGGTTGCCCTGGGATTGACGGTAGGAGCCAATTGCCGATGAGTGCAAAGACAACTAATTTCTCATTAGAATGACATTCACAGAATCTGGTGATCTATAACGTGTAACATACTAGTAAGGGAACCAGCAATTGTGATAGCAAGTAGATAATTGTGATAACCGACTTGGACATATGACCCTCTGGTATACACAAGGATCACACCAATAATGAGTGCAACAAGACTGCCAACGTTGCCAGACACCAAGGCAAGGACACTGACGGTGACTCCCTTTGTCCATGTCTGTTTCTCCACAGAACTACGCTCCGCTGGTGTTGTGACCGACACCACAGGCGACGAGCGGAACCAGCCGGCAGAGCGCATAAAAATAGGAATGTAAGATGACTCGATGACGGCGTAAACTCCCTGGATAGTTGTAAGGCAGCAATATAGCACAGAAAGTGCCACCAGGTAGGGATAAGTTGACTTGGTTAAAGCGGCAAAGGGTAGAGCCAAACCGCCAAAGAGAATGATCGCCCCAATCATCATGGCCTTCCGATAATCTGCATGTGTGCGAGTCAATACTTGATAGGATCTAGTATACTTTTTCTTTTCTTGGGCCTCTCTTACAGGAGTAATCCGCCATTCCTGCAGTGAAAATTGTGAGGATACCTTCCATTGCCCGACCAATCGCCCGAAGGTACAATCTGCTAACGTTAGCATATCTCAGATCCTTTAAGTAGCGATGACAAACCGTACAGGTAACTAAGATAATCGATTTCACCAGCCCCAAACCTAACCAGGCACGTAATGCTACTTCCCCGTCGGGCACACGGTTTGTCTGATCCAGGTTGGTGGCCAACGAGATTGGCAGCAGACTGAATGGCGGCAGAAACATAGTTGTAGACCATGGAGCTCGTTGGACCAGTCTGGAATAGCCCATCAGCATCATGGACGGGGTCAAGCCACTGTAGAAAAGGGATCACCCACGGAGAAGCACAGGATCAGGTAGGCAACTAATGCTTTTCTTGAACCTAGGGAGGCCGCTGAGGGATCAGGTGCGGCAGTTTCATTGTGGGAGCCCTGCCCCTCTCGTGCGTCCTGTTTTTGTATTGAGACACTGTGCCTGCGACCGGATTCCTCGTCTGGATCGCGTCCATCACTGACGCTGCGTGAGAAGGACATATCTTCCTGGAGGAAAGCCTCGGGGGACCTGCCTGCACTTAAAAAAAAAACAGTCGGGTCTACCGCTGACTGTTGTGCGAGAGAACAGGATTCTCTATGTAAATGAATGGCAGGAGATCTCCAAAACCTGGGTTGTCTAACGCCTTTAAATAAAACGACACATGTGTAACGACCATCCTTGACATGATCAACTCCCTCTGGTGAAGACAATCTTGCAGCCAAGAGGGGGGTGGGAGGCCAGGGGGGTTCCGGAGCGAGCGAGAACTTGAGTTCCTTGTAACGGGAAACTCGTGTTCAGGGCATTTGTCAACAACAAGTCCACACAGAGCAGGCATTTTCCCGCGCATATTTGAGCACATTACCACCAGGCTGGCTCAAAAGCCCAATCATCATTTTCAACAAAGCACACCACATTGCCAGTCAATGCAGTTTACTTCCGATAAAAGCCACTCTAGTCGCATTCTCAAGATAAACCTTTTCCACGGAATAAAAGCTTAACAAGAAGCAACAGGATTTAGAACTAGAGGGGCTCACAACAAGCAGAATGCTCAAGCCCAAACAGCGACAATGGGGAACTGTGGAATGCAGTGCTGCACCCAAAAGGCCGTCGCCTGAGCCTCGGATCCCAATCAAAGACACTGCTCAGAGCCAATGAAGCCTTTGTCTGAGCCAGAAAACAAAAAGGAAAACGTGATGTCGCGATCTAGGATTGGGTTGCGACTGAGCGCCCCCCAGCCAATCACAAGCATGTGTCTAGTTACATAAGCCCCAACCAGAGTGCTGACATAAGCAGTGGTTTGCACGCAAGATTTGCCTGCAAGTCGATTTGTTGACCACCTCTGCTGACGACCGACCGCCCTGATCCTGCTCGAGAACGCCGCCGGTGTGCCCAAGAATCTCCTCTCCCCTCTCCCAAAAGTTGTCTTTGCTAGTAGTCGCAGTCAGCTGGGTGGACTGTGACATTTTTGCACCCAATTGAGTCCCCCATCCCTTCCGATCACGTTCTCGCACAATCCAGCCCACCATGTTTTACCGAGCAACCGCTGCCCGCTCCATCCTCCGAGCGGCTCCGTCTACGGTCAATGCCTCTATAACCCGCTCTACCTTAACGAATACCATCTTCAAGTCGCAGTTCACAGCCTCTGCTCGCCAATCGCCTTTCGTCCGTCCCACCACCTTGGCCCTCGCTACCCGAAAGCCGGTAACCACCGCCTTGGTTCGATATGCTTCTACCGCAGAAAAGAAGGCAGGCACCGAGCTTGTTGAGGACCCAGACGTCGACATGATGGCTGGCGTGAAGAATGACGTGGTAATTAGCCCTATGATGCCCAAGTCGATAAATTAAATTAGACGTACCTGGACTCGTTAACAAATCGTTCATCTGTGCTGCAATCTAGAAAGTCATCAAGGACACATTCAGTCTCCAGGATGTCCCAAAGGAAGCTCTCTATCTCGGTTTGGCCGGTGTTACCCCATATGTGGTCACTTCCCTCAACACCATCTACCTTGCCTGGGAGATGAACAACGCATTGACCACCGGCAGCGGCAAATATATCTCGGGAGAGACCGCTGAGCTCCTCATGAACGTCATGGAGCCAATCCAGGTTGGCTATGGCGCTGTGGTATGTTGCTCACTTTCTGCCTCGTTTCAAGTAGTTACCCCCGGCTAACAGTAGTGATAGATCCTTTCGTTCCTCGGTGCTATCCACTGGGGTCTGGAGTGGGCTGGATATGGCGGCAAGGTTGGCTACAGACGTTATGCTTACGGAGTCATTGCTCCAGCTGTCGCCTGGCCAACTCTGCTGTTCCCAGCTGAATATGCGTTGATCACTCAGTTCCTAGCCTTCACCTTCCTGTACTATAACGACGCTCGTGCGGCTGTCAAGGGATGGACCCCATCCTGGTACCACATGTACCGCTTTGTTCTCACCTTCGTTGTTGGTGCCAGCATTGTTGCCAGTCTTATCGGACGTGAGCAACTGGCGTCCCACTATGCCTCGAAGCACGGCGTTGCCGATAAGGTCCAGGCTTTAAGATCGATTGAGTGGAAGAACGAGGCTGAGGCTGCGAAGGAAGCTGAGGGCAAGGAGGAATAAGCCAGCTGCAGTCAAGTGATGGTGTAGACAAGCGGAAAAAAGTTTGCATTAGCATTGGTGGCAGTGGGTTGGTGTTGTTCATCATTCCCTAGGATCGTGTGTAGATTAGCTGGATCACCCTTTTTTTTGTTTGGAACTTGCGAACGCAATAATTTCATTTGTTCAGTTTTCATGTAAATATGTTCAATAAATTGATTGGAATGGCCCTAAATTCCAGCAGTGGTAGATGCCAAAGCCAGGCGAGACGGCGCCGTTCCGCCCTAATATTCTGCGGAGGAGCGGTGGTACCATACTCAGTTCCTGTCTTCCGGACAACAGGATGCAAGCCTAACTAATGATCCCGGTTCAGGTCTGTGCGCCTAGACCGCCAATTGGCATTTGAGACTACATCTAGATCTGTGCCGCAGAAGGGAAATCGACCTCTGCTCAGAAACAAATCGGTCCCAGCCAGCCAATCGTCAAAGAGCATTTCCCGTCTTCAGCTCTGAGAGTTTGCGCAGATGGACACCGTATTCCGTAGTTAAAGACAGCAGTTTTGATGGCCCAATGACAGGAATCGAGTTTCCAAACTGAAAAGTTCCTCCATGATATGCATACATTTCCCGTAAGATGTTTTGTTATAAGTTTATATTTGGCATTTGCCTCGATAACTATGGGTCAACTACAGATTTAGTTATCAGACCATCGTTTTTTTTAAAAAAAAAAGGAAAGCAAAAAAAGAAAAAAATTACTCCATCCACCCCCGATCCACCAGTAAATGCTTTGTGTAGAGAAAATATTCTCCAACCTTCGTGACCGACTAACTAAAAATAACCTGCCTAGAGCCTTTTCGTCCGTCAATCATTTTCCAAAGTTTCGACAAAACTGCCAGTCAGGTGTGCGTTGTGATGACTTGCATTAGTTAAACCTCCGTTCAAAGCTACCAATACCTCAACCCGCAAACTCACCTCCTAAAGGGCCGTGGTTAGCTGGTCTTGTTGATTTGAACAGTATGTAAAAACTCTCATCCCCTGACTAGAGGTTGCCATCAGACCGGCAGAAAATAAAGTGACCGATCAAATTGCGTAATCCTGCTATCAGAAGTCCAGACAAGCAGGTTACTCCAGCAGTAGTCATGCGGATCATGTTTCGGTAATCAAGACATTGGATCCGTGGGTCGGCTCTCCCTGATGGCGAAACAAGTCATCCTGCCCGAAAGTAGTTGAACTGAAATAACTTCGAGGGAGGCCCCAGCCAATCCGACTCAGAATAGTTGCCTTTTGGCTCCGGATGGTTAGCAGGTTTATGAAAGGTTCTTTGGTGTCCTAGAGCCTTTATAAAGACGCGCAAAGTACGAGCAATGTCTGGAGAACGCTGATTCCTACTGTTCTTGATAAGTTGGTAGCATACCTAAAGTGTACGGTGAGCATGAACGCGCGAGATCCGAAATGTATCCAATATAAGATACCTTCGGTCCGATGCATGTTATCACAAGGTGGATGCCCTGATCAATAGCACAAATGAACATTCATATTAGATACGACCTTGCATGCAGTCGTGGAGCAACTGGAGCTGCAGGACCTGCGAATCAGCAGCCCGCTTCCAGACCCCCGGGTTTGCCATCCAACCCGAACATACCGTCACTGCACATGGACCTGGAGTTCGACGTCTCCTGCTATTTAACGACCTGAGATCGTGAGAATTCTATGGGGGATGCCAAGTCATCAGAGAAACCGATGACATTACCCCCCCAAAGTGTCAAAAGCATGTGGTGATGGGGCATTTTGCACAAGTGGTCAGGTGTTGTAGCTGGGGAAACCTGCTCCCAACAGCCTTGGTTCAACCAAGAATCGACCCAAAGTCCCATCGAGAGCGAGGATTTTAAAGTCGACGCTACGCAACCTAACCATGAAAGCGGCAGAACTGCTTGCTGCCCCGCAATCGGCCACTCCCACATGACGGATAGGGCTTCTTCGCAACCATGATGGCCCCCTGATATGTATAATAGTCTCGTCTCGCTGCCGGCCGAGAAGGGCATGCTCCCTATTACTTCCTTTCAATCTCTGTGCCAATACAACCCCTTCCTCTCTTCCATCCAAAGTGTGCCGCTCAAATTTTACAACCTACGTCAAATCTATTGCCTGGAAAACCGGTTTCTGTGTCGCATACCCCAGTTTGTGCTCCCAAAATTTGCGCTGGCTGAGCGCAGTCGCATCATAACGTCCAGGATAAATCTTAGCAAGGTAATAGGCGATTTGGGGATGGCTGGAGCAACTGTCATGCCAATTCGAAGTCAGCTAGGCCGTGATATCGACAGCTCTCAAGTCAGCCAAGCAACCCCGGCCCGGGGTCCATTCATAGCGGATCATAGTAAGCCTCAACGTCGGTTCGTTGGCGCAATCGATCAGGGAACAACCAGCACTCGTTTTATCATATTTGATGATCAAGGGAACCTCGTCGCTTCGTATCAGACAGAGCTAAGCCGCCTACATAAATACCCAGGGTAAGCAATCGAGAACGCACAGGGCGAATACATGCCCACAGATGCAGGGAGACTTTTCGAACGCTGACGATGAACTGGGATTATTCGCAGATGGCATGAGCAGGACCCAAAAGAGATTATTTCATCCGTCGAATCCTGCATCGCACAGGCAACGAAGACTTTTGTCAACCTGGGGCACTCCATCTCAGATATTCAAGCTTTGGGGATCACCAACCAGCGCGAAACAACCGTGGTATGGGACTGGGAAACCGGAGAACCCCTCCATAGCGCAATCGCATGGCCGGATACCCGCACAGCCTCGCTGGTGCGGGAATTAAAGTCAAAAGAAGGTGCAGATCAGCTTCAGGAAAAATGCGGGTTACCTCTATCCACGTATCCGTCTTCTGTGAAACTCACTTGGCTCCTTCGGAATTCCAAAGAGGTCAAGGAGGCGTATGAAGCGAGAAGACTGGCCTTTGGAACTGTTGACACATGGCTGCTCTATAACCTCAACGGTGGCAGGAAAAGGGGAGTATTCGTCACCGATGTCACGAATGCCTCGAGAACAATGTTCACCAACCTGCACACACTTCAGTATGATGATTCGTTGCTGAAATTCTTCGATATCGACAGATCAAAACTGAAGCTTCCGAAAATCCTTGCTTCTTCGGACGAGTCCGCTTTTGGATGCATGGCAGACGGCCTGCTTGCAGGAATTAGAATAACAAGCTGTCTTGGTGACCAATCGGCTTCATTGGTGGGACATGGGGCGTTGACGCCAGGCACCGCAAAAAATACCTATGGGACGGGATGTTTCCTTTTATATAATGTAGGTGAAACGCCGGTGATCTCGAAGCACGGGCTCCTGGCAACTGTCGCCTTCCAATTGGGCTCGAAGCAGAAGCCTATATATGCATTGGAGGGAAGCATCGCCGTTGCTGGCAGCGGTGTGTCATTCTTGATGAATAACTTGGGCTTCTTTCGTGACTCGAGAAAGGTCGATGAGGAAGCCGCCACCGTTCCTGATAATGGTGGCTGCATTTTCGTCACGGCGTTCAGTGGCCTCTTTGCTCCGTATTGGGTGGATGACGCCAAAGGAACTATCTGTACGTGGATTCCCACGATTGATTCAAATGTGCTGATTACGACCTGGCTGACATATAGCAAAAAGTTGGGATCACACATCACACACAAAGAGGTCATATAGCCCGGGCAACTCTTGAAGCAGTCTGTTTCCAGACAAAAGCTATATTGGAGGCTATGGAACGCGACAGCGGCCAGACACTTTCTGACTTGGCGGTAGACGGCGGATTGAGCAATTCAGACATCTGCATGCAGGTGCGTGGAGGATTACCCCCTTCGACTAGTTGCGGAAACTAATGTGCGTTATATTAGTCCCAAGCAAATATAATCCGTATCCCTGTCGAGCGCCCGCCTATGCACGAAGTCACCGCATTAGGTGCAGCTATTGCAGCAGGGCTTGCCGTCGGCGTGTGGCGCAACCTCGACGAGTTAGTAGGGATGAATAAGTCCAACAGGACCGTATTCGAAGCTCAAATCAGCGAGGTAGAGAGCGCCAGGATGTATAAACAGTGGTCGAAAGCCGTCCGAATGTCTCGTGGGTGGCTGGAGAGCGACGAAATCGACGCCATTTGATATTCCTTGACAAGGGTTATTTTCACGGTCAGCGACTCTTCATTTCTGTCATTGGATGTAGCAGGTCTTTTGGATACCACTTCTTTCATTTCTTCCTCCTTTTTTTCTTTTCTTTTTCTTTTCTTTTCTTTTTTTTTTTTAAAGTTCCTTTTTGATCATGTCCATTTTCCGTATAGATTTTGATAACATCTTCTTTGGCCCGTGGCGCTGGAGCTGTGTGTAATTTTGCTGCATGTCTAACTAATCCTGGCTTCGTTATTGCTTTCAATTTTTAGTCGAGCGATGGCTGGACGGTCATCATGCTACAGCGCGGCATCGTTCAATCACCTCTTCCCATGTTTCTGTATGATCGCCTTCTGCTCTTCACAATGCACTTGTTAAACTTGTATTTCAGACAGATACCCTGATCTTAATGCTGGTAATAGGTCGTGACACTGCCTATCCCGCTGAGCATGGTGCTGTTTTGACGCACGTTTCCCATGATTTGTCTTTTGATGAGTGGGTGAGTGGAACTCCAAGACTCAACGAGTGCGGTTTGCATTGGCCACATTGACTGTGGAGGCGCGCTATAGGGAATTCTCATCTGGCCTAGTGAAGAGAGCTCCTCCAGTTTCAGGCCGGATAGAACATATCAAGACTCTACCTCAACGCCTCCATACAGTACGGAGTACCTCCTGGCATATACGGACTACTGTCGAGCCCCAACAGACCAGGGGGTTCTGGAACATCCTGCTTGACTGGGAGCTTTCGACCGGGACCAGTGAATATTTCCCGAGCAGATTCCCATTGGCTAAGGGGACTAAGGAGAAACTTACTTTAATTGCCACGATCCTCCGTTGATCAAGAGTTCCACTGTGACCTGGTCGTACACGAATGATGTTATCAGGCTGCGCAGTACTTTTTTCGCCGCGAGACGTTGCGCCATTTGGCCCAGACCTGTTGACCAACTGGAAGACCGAATCAGCTCCGATTTTCAGTTGACCATGCCATGAATGCCAGGAATGGATGCTTCGGTCGAAATTGAGAATCATAATACCCTGCTGGCCCGCTCAGACT